ACAATACCTACCCTTCCAACAACACCACGGCCTCGGACTGTTTCCAGGGTGCCAGATAAGCTGAATATCCTCCAGTGCCTTTCTCGGAGCTGCACCACTTCACTGTCAAGGTTCTCCAAGCGAATACAGTAACGCCACTGGACAGAAGAAAAACTGTCATCAAGAACTAGAATCAGCTGCAAATAATTGATAACCCATAGCCAGTACTGGGAAACAGCTGCCAGGCAAGGGCTACTCTCTCCCTCAGAGTTTATCACACAGCAATGATGCCACAGCAAATAAACTCCTTCCCTTTAGCTGCTCCACAAAACAAAAGGCACTTACCCAGTAGACATGGGAATTCTGGGCTTCCTGTCAAGAGAAACAAAAGACTTTAGCAGCTGCCCTTCAATGCTCAGTGCCAAAACCTCTTCAGCTGTCAGCACAGCACAAGCACAGGAGCTCTCTCTCCATGCCAGCGTGATGCAGACAACTCACGTGAGCACAGACAGCTGCTCTCCAAAGCAGTCCAGCAGTTGCTGCCTGGCACTGGCTCTGCTCTAAACACAGTCATGAGGTGGGAGATTTGCAGATCTCATGACTACAGAGGAGAGTGGATCTCCTTGTTAATTACACACACTTCACAGATCCACAAACACCCATTTCCTTGCCTTCAGGCACCTGTTTTTCTGACAGGTCAGGGCAAAAATCAGCTGGAGCCCACGGAAGCTGCAATTTCAAACCAGAACATTCACCCATCACAGCACAGCTGTACTCCTCCAGACTCAGAAACCAAACTGCTGCTGTAATTCCTGGCTTAGAAGCCCATTACAGCCTTATTGTCTCGAATGGTCCACGTCAAGATGCTACACTATGAAGAGCGAATGGTTGTGTATTAAATCCAGAGGGTTCTAACCTCCATTCAAGATAGGATACAGAGGTCAACACCCACAGCATCTCACTGCTGGGCAGGATAACAGGCTCGTGGCACCAAAGATGTCTGCTGGAGTAATATTACACACATATCTGGTACAGTAAAGGACAAATTTATAAGCATTCCTAAATATCTTCCTGTCAGTGTTTAGCAGGAAAGTCCAGGGTATTTCCTACCCAACAAATAACAAGAGAAATCCAAGCACAGGACTTATTCCCCAAGGAGTTATGACAAAGCAGTTTCGTGCTCATACATAAGCTGGACAATGAAATTGCAAATGGGGCCAAAAAGTGATTTCTCCAGTAAGCAAAAAATACTTTCAGTCAGTAAACAGGCCTTAAAACAAACAAAAAAAAACCCAAAACATACAAGTTAAACAGATCACAGAACAGCAAGATGTAACACAGACCTACCCTCATGCCCATATAGAAAGGGATGACTGTGACTCGAATGTTCTCTGTGGTTTCCCGGTGCACATCAGAGAGCTCTAACCAGGGGTGGTTCTTTTCCTGCCATGCACAAAGTGTATCCCGTGCTACAAAAGGTGGAACTGCAAGCAGGGAAGGAGTACTTAAGTATACTGTAACAACACAGTCACAAAAATAACTTAAAAGAAGCTTTAGTGTAACGAAAATCCACAGCAGACCCTAAGTTTTATACTGTGTCCAAGATGATGGATGGATTTTAGATACAGTACAGCACCATGAGGCCAAAGATTACCTTTTGTTTGGTCATACATGAGAAACCTCTCAAAGAGCTCATGCTGGATGGGCACTTGATCAGTGGAGCTGTAGGGAAGGATATCTTCATGGCTTACATAGTCTAAACCTGAAAAAGAATCCCCCAGAGCCATGGAACATCTCCAGCAGAGAGCTGCTCAGAAGTCCCCTGACAGTGAAACAGATTACACTTGCAAGAAGAAAAGGATTTTGGCAGCAGAAACCAATGCCAGAACTATGATTGCAAGCACGATGGGAGGAAATTGGCTACCAATAACCTCAGCTGTGAGATTTCTCCACAGGGTGAATTCCAGATAGGGGCTGCAAAGTGACTGTACAGCCACAAAAGGCGTTTGGACAGGAAACACATAGGACAGAGAGAGAGCCAGTGGTCCTGGGAGCAAAGCAGAATGGCCTGTATGCGACAGAGCATGCATATGGCATCTATGTCTCAGCAGCTCTGAGCAGCCATGCCTTTATCACAGTCTGACAAACTTCAAACAGGGCCCCACACCACAAGCAGCTCTACTACAGCAATGTCCTACATGCAGTGCTGCACTGGTAGCAGCTGGCTCTGTGTGACTTTTTTTGTGCTCATTCCATGAGTAATCACATCTCCACAGCAGTCAGAAGTGCATTTCACTAACCTGGTATGGCATAGAGGGCTCTGCTGTCATCGTGATTTGCCAGGAACGTCACCGCTTCTGTCTGCGACCTCTGGGACTGAGAAAAGGAAGGTTTGTGTCTTTCATTGCAGATTTTTGGGGGCCAGTTTCCAGTGACATTTCAGTTTACTGTTGCTCTTTCTAAAGTGCGTTACAATTGTTTCATTTGACCGATTCACCTCCTAATATTTCTAGACTAATTCTTCCCTCAATTCAAAAACATTCTCAGTACTGCAACTCACAATTGCCTACACATAACAAAATAGAAACACCAAAAGGATGAGGAAATAAGGTTAGAAAGGGGAAAAACAATCCAGAAAACAGGCACACGACATTCCAGGATACTTTCAGGGAAAGTTATGACTTGATGAACAGTAACTACATAGATTTATAGCCACTGGAAGAAAAGCATTCACACTGGAGAAGATACCTTAATTTCAATACCAGGATGATATTGGTTACTTACAATGTGTGGACAGTCCCGAGCATCTATTAGCACCTGATAGTAAGTATGTGTTTTGCCCTTGACCTCTTTGGAACCATGGCCTGCTACATTCTCGCTCCTAAACAGAAAAGCAGAACGCTGAGCTCCAGTGTGTGCTCACCAACCCCTGCTTCATCTGCTGCTCACAAGGGGAAGGAGTTCACTTCAGGATGGCAGCAAACTGCTGTCACCAGGACCGAGCACATTCATAACAATAACTTCTTAAAATACATTTCACAGTCATTCAATTCCTTTTCCAATTTCTCACTCTCTCACACACACACACTCTCTTCCTTCGTCCTTCCATCATCCTGCCTCTAATTAACAGAAAATTACTGCAGTATCTTGTTTGAGCACATCTATTCCAGTTTACCCTCACATAAAACAGAACCATACTAATGTTCTCCTTAAAAAACTTCATTGCTTCAAGCACGAAACTTGCTAATAAGTGTCAATATAACTGCATAAACTAGAAAGAATTCTTACTTTTCTGTGACAGGAGAAGCAACATCTCGATCATAGAGCCTAGCTTGCCAGGGAAACAGAACTATTCCTCGATAGCCAAACACACTGTGAAGAAATAGCTGAAAGGAACAAACAGTTGCATTTGAATACACAGCAAACTTCACTCTTAGATACAACAGAAAGCACAAACCCACGAGGCCTCTTTTGGAAAGTATCAAAAGAAAAAAATATCTGTTAACTAAAGTAGAATTTGTTACATGGGAATACAGGACAATCACTACAGCAGAAACACAGAGGGAACATAATTTGAAACGAGTACAAGTTTGCCTTGCCTCTATCCCATAAAACAAATGGTTGAATAAAGTAGTGGATCAAAAGAAGTGCAGAAAGGAGAGAGGGATGGAAGACTGCTCAGAAACACAGAAACATGTGAGAGTCGTATATGCAGAAATGAGGTTAGCTATTTCTCAGATTCAGCAATTCTCTCTTTTGCTGCTAAAGGGAGAAAACAAATTAAAACTGGAGAGCAAATACCACCGTATGAACAGACGTGGCATGTTGCAGATTCTTATCAACTTGCTACTGTCAGATGACTGACAAACTGCCAACGCAGCAGACACAAGAAACACCAAACTGTGACACTTCTGGCCTTCCACTGCTATGCCACAGCCTTCTGATGAGCAGAAGCTCTTTCTCATGCTCTGCTCCCCAGGACAGCTCACCTGACCCGTCTCGTATTTGCCATGCTGCTTTGGTGCCTCAAACACTCCCACTGTCTCCAGCACTTTGCCCTCCAGACGGTTCCTAGGAGCGGACAGAGGTTTTGCTGGCTGTGCAGGGCAGCACATGGGCCATGCTGGGCAACGTGCCCAGAGCTGGGAGCACTATGCATAGCACCAGAGCCCCCTCCCTGTACCTCACACATTCCCATGAGCACCTACTGCCCTCTGCCCCAGTGCCCCCCCTCCTCAAACCTCCCTCCCTTTTCCAGTCACACCCAGTCACCCCCAGCCTCCCAGTAACCCCTCTCCAAGCACTCTAACATCCTCCACCTGCCCCTGGGGTCCCTGACTCACCTGAATGCCCCTCCCTCAAACCCAAGCACAACCCAAACAACCCCACGCATCCCAAAAACATCTGATGCAACCCAAAACCCCTTCCAATACCCCATCACTCACCCCAATACCCCCTCATTCACCCCCGACACTCCTCAAACGCACCAAAAAAAACCTGATACACCAACACCCCCTCACAAATCCAACCACAAAAATACCCAAAATTCAACCACATCGACACCCCTGCACCCGCCCCAACAACCCCTCAACCACTCGAACACCCCCAGACCCACCTGAACACTCCCAGACCCCCCCACGCACACCAAAGGACCTCACACGCCCCAATAACCTCCGACCCACCCGAACCCCGCCGTCACGCCCGCCCCTCACAGGCCTCACCGCGACGACAGGTGCCTCCGCGGCAGCAGCGAGAGGGCCGCGACGCTGCCCCCGCTCAGAGCCCGCGGTACGCGGGTCGGGAGCGGCTCCCAAAGAGGTTCCCACAGCGGCAGCCCGCGGGCACGGCACCGACCCAGCGCCGCCGCCAAGTACCGCCGTGCCGCGCCGCCCGACATCCCGCCGCCGGCCCACACTACAACGCGGGCCCACTTCCGGTCCTCCGCTTCCCGGAAGTGCCTCCCTCCCACTTCCTCCCCCGGCGGCGCTCTAGTCCGCCGGCACGTCGGAGCTCTATGGTGTTTCGCGTTGCCTAGGCGACCAGCCGGGCAAGATGGCGTCGGCGATTCGGGCCGGAGCGCGGCTCAGGCGGGCGGTGGAAAGCGAGGAGCTGTCCGGGCTTCCCGCCACGCTGCGGGACGAGCTGCGGGAGGCCGTGGCTTCCAAAGGCTCCGTGGTGCCCTTCAGTTTGCTGCGGAGGCTGCACAGCGGGCTGCGGGAGGCAGGTAGGCCGCGCGAGGCCTATTGGGCCGCACCTCGCCGCACCGCGCGTCACCGTTAACCGCCCCTTTCTGCCCTCCGCAGGATCCCCGCTGTTCCTCTACGAGCTCCTGAGAGACAGCGACATCGCCCTGCCCGAAGTGCCGGTGCAGCCGCGGGTAGGTGAGGGCTGGGGAAGGGCTGGGATCTGCCACCACCTCCCGAGGCCCTCACTGTGATTTCGGACTTCCCCCAGAACCCCGAGCTGGTGGCCAGGCTGGAGCAGATAAAGGCTAAGCTGGCCAATGAGGAGTACCGGCGGATGACCCGCAACGTCACCAGGCAGGTGAGGGGCCTGGAGGGAGAATTCCCACCTAGGGATGGGAATCCAACCCCCGCTAGCATGTCCAATTGCAGAGGAGGTTCAGGATGAATATCAGGAAAACGTTCTTTACCAAAGAGTGTTGGGGCACTGGAACAAGTTCCCTAGGGCAGCAGACATGGAACTGAGCTGCTGGAGTTCAAGAAGCAGCTGGACAGCTCTCTCTGCTGGATTTGATGATCATTATGGATCCCTTCCCAACTCAGGATGTTCTGCGATTCTGTGAACACTGTGCCTTCAGTGCTCCTGAGGCAAAACTGGGGGGAAGTTGGAAGAAAATCCATCTCTATCTTAGGGGCAAAATAATAAAGTAGCCAGGCTGCCGGGTTGGTGTTACACATCAGTTCATCTTCAAGCTGATGCTCACATGAAGAGCAGAAGCTGATGCTCTCAATCTCTTGTTTGAGTCTGGCTTTCTAAGTTCAGGATGCTCCCATGTGTATGTGGGCATTGCCTGCTATCACATCACAATTCAAGGCAAGACCCTCTAAGGTCTGTTAAATACAAATCTCCATCTGAGAACATGCTCAAACCCCAAGAAATGCTTTGATTAGAAATTTCCCTTCTCACTGTCAATGAATCAGACCGCAAGCATAAATCCAGAAAAATGTGGGCCCTGTGGAATTGCTGCTCCCCTGCAGCCCATCCAACAGCTGCCAAGGCCCAGCAGAAGCTGTCCAGAGCTCTCAGCAGGTCTTAGAAACTGGACAGGGTTTTGCTATTGCTTTTATTCTGCAAATAATGTTAAAATACAGTGGAACACAAGTTGTTTTAATCCCTTCTTTTAGGATATGAACCATGGGACATTAGCTGAATTCGGGAGGCAAGGTGAGTGGCTGTTTGTCCTGCTGACACCTGATGGTACGTAGCAGAGAAGTTGGTACAACAGCAGAGCAGTTGGGCACAGGAGCCATCACATCACTAGTGGTTGGCCTCAGCCACCCCTTCCCTCTCTGAGCAACAGCACCTCCCTGAAATGCTCAAAGTATTCCTCCAGTAAAGGAGCGGCCAGTCTGTAGTTCTGAAAAGTATTTCTAGAGGTGTAAAACGTGAATTTTCAAGCATTCCTGTAGCCCAGCTGAGGCAGTCACAGGCAGATTCAGCCAGCAGGATTACAGCTTGCCTCTCACCAATCCCTCCTCTCTCCCGTTTCTCTCCAGTTCGCTCTGTTAAAGCTGTAGTCGTCACCATATTCAACTTCTTTGTCACCGTGGTGGCTGCGTTTGCCTGCACATACCTGGGCAGCCAGTATCTCTTTGTGGAGACAGCGGCGGTGAGTGGCCACGGCCTCAGAACCAGCTCAGAACCTGTTGGCAGGAGCAGCAGATGCTGCCCAGCACCAGGCAGCAGCTCAACCACACACACACACACACACACACACACACGGTCACTTTTCTTTCTTTTTGTACCCACAGCGTGTCCTGTCAGCAGTGATTGTGGCCTCGGTGGTTGGCTTGGCTGAACTGTATGTGATGGTGCGCACGATTGAAGGAGACCTTGGGAAACTATAGCCACACACATCCCCTGCAATTGAGGCTCCTGCTGGAGGCTGTTGCCCACTACACGAGCCATTTGTTTGGGGCATCTTATCTCTGGACTGTCCTCTAGTGGATGTTACCACCCCGGCACACAGGAGGTTACAAGCTGTTGCTGTCTCAGTTACTCTGTAAAGTTTCTGTCATTTTATTATAGAATTAAGTAACAGTGTATGTTTTCAACCTCCATCCTGCCATGCAACACGCTAACCTGGCCTCTAAAAGACATCACAGCCAGCCATGAATCTTCCCTCTCCCTCTGCATCACATCCTGCTGTCTCCTGTGCAAACCAGGGCTCTTTCTTAGCCTGTCCTTCCTGCTCCCACCTGGTCCCCTGCCCGTTTTAGGGAGAGCAGTACTCACTCATTGTCAGCTTGACAGTATGTGATGATGGTTGCCTTCCACACAGATCTGTCCAGCATGACAACGCTCGCTGTGACCACGTTGGAGTTGGCACCTGACTCCCAGCACAGCTCACACCAAACCCATTTTCTCTGGCTGAGGAAGGAAGGCAGCTCCAAAAGGAGCCTGGGGTGCCGTGGAGCAGAGAGCGGAACTCGCTGAGTGCCCCCATGGCCGTGCAGAGGGGAGGGGGCTCTGCTGGGCCTCGGGGATTCAGACACCTGCTGGGTGGGCACTGTGCCACAGCTGGACACGGTGATTAATGCTCTGATGGCAGCTAAGCCCTTCAGTGAACACGCTTTAATATCTGATACGGGGAAATCTGCCGGCACCTGCAAACGTGCCTGAGGATTAGGGGCGGCCACGCCACAATCATCCGCGGATCCTGCCTCAGATTAAGGTATTTTTTCCAAAAGATTAGTTGGTATTAGGGGGGCTGATTGGGAGCTGGCCCTGTCACGGCTGCACCAGCATTTAGGATATTGGATGGCATCGTAGGGACCGCTGGGCCCAGCAGTAATTCCACACCCTAATGAACTCAGGGCATTAAGCCCCAGCGCACCCCGCTTACGGCTCGCCCAGATTGGTGATGGCTGCACTGTAGATAAGGTCAGAGATAGAGCCCAGCGAGGTGGGGAGGCCCCATGCAGGGCTGTGGGCTCTCGATGGTGGCAGCGTGGGGACTGGGATGGTGCTTTCGGGGTTGACCACGGGCGGATCCTGTTCCCCTGGTGGTGGTGACAGTGGTGGCTCCGGTTTGGCGCTGCGGATCCTGCGAGCACGGCGGTTCTGGAACCAAACCTGTGTCAGGGAATGGGGGGAACCATGAGACTATGGGAACAATTCAGCGGGGCGGGAATACAGGATGGGGACCTCGGGAAGGATGGAGGGAGGTTGGGGGGTTTTGGGGGTCCCAGCTCTGCTCACCTGGATCTTGGCCTCAGGCAGCTGCGTGAGCTCAGCAAGGCGTTCTCGGGTGGCGATGTCCGGGTAGGGCACAGCAGCGAAAGCCCTCTCCAGTTCTGACAGCTGCCCCCGGCTGAACGTGGTCCGCCGCCTCTTCCTTGGTCCCCCAGGGCAGGGGAAGGGCCCCGGAGCTCGGTTCTCCGTCCCCGCCGCAGGACCGCCCGCCCCGTCGGGGAAGCGGAGCAGCGGCTGTGGGGCGCGGGAGGTGCCTGGGGCAGCGCTCATCTTGCCCGGCTCCCCCGGCCCCGCTCCCAGCCCGGCTTTTATCCTCTCCCGGTGGGCTGGGACCGCCCCGAGCGGGCGGTGCTCATCGATTCCCCCCTCCCTGCCTTTCCCCCCCGGCGGTTCCCTGGGGCCGGTCCCGGTTGGTGCCCTCCGACGGCAGCATCCCGGGGGCATCGTCAGTGCCCTCAGTGTCACATAATCCCAGCAGTTCCCTGTACCGACAACCCGACAGCTCCAGGAGCTGCTTTCCCAGCACCAGTAACCCCAATTTACCCAGGTACTGGGCAACCCGACGGTTCCCAAAGCCTTTCCCCCATCGGATCCATAGGGACCCCAGCCATGGAGGAGGCCCAGGGATCCAGTGTCACTAAGTTGGGAAATGCAGTTGATGCTGAGACCTTCTATATCCCTCCTGAGGTGAAGTGACCCCATGCAGCACCCGTTGCCTGCCCCCCAGCCTCACCCCCCCCATGCCACTCTCCTGCAGGGCTGGCACCAGTCAATGTTTAACAGGAGCCGTGGTACCGGTTGTGTGGGGCAGACAGAGCTGGCTGCTGGTGGATCCCACCGGGGCCAAACAGGCACTGCTGTCGCCCTGAGCGAGGGGTGCTGAGGGAGAATGGAGGCAGAGGAGGAGCGGGGCTGGGGGCCCCAAGCAGGAACACGGCCCAAAATGCTCCCACGGAGCCAACTGCAACTGTAAGTCTGGGGGAAATGGAAGGGGCTGAGCTCGGGGCCTGAGCAGCCACCACTGATAAAGCCACTGCAAAAAAGGCCAGGGAAGAAAGGACAGGGGGGTCCATGCACGGGGACATGGTAGGACATCACTCCCTACCATCTGCTGGGGCACAGTGGGGCAGGAGGAACGTGCATGTTCAGGTCCTTCTTCCAGGGGTGCCTCCTCCACCCCACTGCCCCTTGTTCCCCCCAGGAGCACTGGCGAGGAGCAGGAGGGCAGAGAAACACGCCTGAGAGTGGTGCTGAGGTCAGTGTCACCTGTTTCCCAGGCCAGTATCACAGTGGGATCCCCGAGGATCCCCACGTAGTGTCACCTCTGTGTGTCCCCCCCAATCAGGGTCCGACCACTAACCTGCACAGAGATGCGTCGGGGTGACCGGCACGCGGTGCACAGCCTGGGCAATGGCACCGTCCATGTAAGTGCCACCTCCCCGCGGTGGGGCCAGGGGTTGTGACCCCCTCCTGAGCCACCGCCGTCCCCGTGCCCAGGTGAATGCAGCCAGGCACGATGCCACCTTCACCTTCAGTGCCGTTTTTGATGCGGGTGCCTCACAGGAGGCCGTCTTTGAGGGCAGCGGCATGCAGCAGCTGGTGGAGCTGGCAGTGGAAGGGTGAGCCCCCATATGACCCCCACCCTAAAGACGGCACCAGGATGTCTGCATTGCCCGGACAGTGCCGAGAGGTGGCATCCCTCTGCCACGACCTGGGGCCATGCCTGAGGTTCAGCATCTCCCCCAGCTTCTCCTGCACTGTTTTCGCCTACGGACAGACAGGCTCAGGGAAAACCTACACCCTGATGGGCCCTCTGGGACAGGTACCACGCTGGCACCCAGTAATAGGACAGGTGCTGATGTGGTGTGATCTGTTGACCTCGTGGCATCTCCTCAGAGTGATGCCCCAGGGCTGCTGGGGCTGATGCAGCGGTCCTTCTCCTGTCTCCTGGAGCAGAGCCGTGGCACCGGCCTGGCGCTCAGTGCCTCCTACCTGGAGATCTACAACGAGCAGGTGAGCACCAACCCAGCCCCACTGCCAGCCCCACTGACATCTCCTGACTCCTCTGCCACTCCCAAGGTCAGGGATCTGCTGAGTGCAGGGCCGCCACGCTCCCTACCCCTGCGCTGGAGCAAAACTCGTGGTTTCTACGTAGAAAACCAGCTCAGCGTGGAGTTTGAGAGCCTGGAGGCTGTCATCGAGCTGCTCCTGCAAGGTGCTGGGCTGTGAGGCTGGGGTATGCATGGGGGGTTCTCGCCAGGTCCCCCTGCAACTTTCTGTTCCAGCAGGTTCCCAAAGGCGACGGACCTCTGCGCACGCCCTCAATGGGCACTCGAGCCGCAGCCACGCCATCCTGACCATCCACATCCACAGCCGAGCAGTGAGCCCTTCCCCTGCTATGGGGACATAGGGAGGGATGGGGGATTGGGGTCTGGGAGGGGTCCTCCAGCCCCAAGGATGCTTTGATGGTGCTGGGCAGAGCGGCACAGACCACATCTCAAACTCAGGGGTTTACACAACGAGGGAGGGTTGGGTGGGATGCAGGACAGCAGCATCATCCACAGTGTGCTTCCCCAGCCTGGCACCAGCAAGCAGGGCACACTGTGCTTTGTGGATCTGGCCGGCAGTGAGAGAGTGAAGGACACCGGCTCCAGCGGGGAGCTCTCCGTGGAGGCCAACAACATCAACCGCAGCCTCCTGGCCCTGGGTAAGAGCTGAGGGACCCTGTGGGCTGCAGAACCCAACTGCCACCCCACTGCATGCTCTGCAGTTCATTCTTCCTGTAGGACACTGCATCTCCCTGCTGGCCAAGCCCCGAGGAAAGCGGATGCACATCCCCTACCGGGACAGCAAGCTTACCCGGTTGCTGGCCCGCTCACTGGGCGGCTCAGGGGTCACACTGATGGTATGAGAGGAGGTACATGGAGCCAGGGAGGCCCACAGAGGGGAAGACTGAATGGGGACAGGGTGGCTCAACTCGTTGGCAGGTCGCCTGCATCTCCCCATCCTCGCGCTGCCTCTCAGAGACGCTGAGCACGCTGCACTACGCCAGCAGAGCCCGCAGGGTCACCACCAGACCCATGGCCAACAGGGTATGGCTGTGGGAAGGGGTGGGATGCTCAGCCCCCACCGTGGAACCCCCACCCTGATCCATCCCCTGGTGCTCCCAGGTGCCTCGGGAGAAGCTGCTGCAAACCTTAGAGGAGGAGATTCGGGCACTGCAGCTGGAGAACCTCTCCCTGCGGCAGCAGCTCAGCCTGCCCAGGAGCAGGGAGGTGCCAGGGCCTGGTTGGGTGGGCAGGTACAGCCTTGGGGAGCTGCACTGCCCCCCCCTTGAAGGGCAGCTCCCAACGGAGGGAGCTCCAGCCTGGCCCAGCCTCTATGGCCTGCTGCGGGACTTTGTGGTGGAAAATGAGCAGCTCAGGTATGGGGGTCCTTCAGGACACACAGGACCCATGAGCAGAGGGTCTCCAGCAGCCGGTGTGTCAGTGCCTCTCCCAGGACTGTGGGGTTCAGAGAGGCTTCTGCTGCCCTACTCTTTTCCCTTTGCTCCCCAGGCAGCCCCAGCTGCTCCCAGGCCCCAGCAGTGGTGACATGCCAACAATCCCATCCCACAGCCAGGCCCCACACCAGAGCATCCACATCCCACTCAGCCACCCCTCATGGCCCCGGCACTCCAACATGAGGCCCACCTCTGCACATCAGCTGCCGGTGAGTCCCTGATGACCCCATGCATGACGCATGGTGACACTGTGCCAACACCCACTGCCCTCTGCCTCTTGCAGAAGCTGCCTCCTGCCTCCAGCTGCCCCCAGTGCTGCACCAATGCCACTGTGTCCCAGGTAGGATCAGTCCCACTACAGAGGGAGGCAGGGTGCGGGGGCAATCCAATGGCTCTGCTTGGCTCCCACATACTGCCTGTCCCCAACAAGGGAAGCGCCAGCCTCCCGCTGCCTGCCCAGGATGATGGCACCATGCCCAGCTGTTGGCCGCAGAAGGGAAAGCGGTGAGAGCTGAGAGCGAGGAAAAAAAAGTCCCAGACTTGTGGGGAGGTTGGGATTTCATTCATGCATCCTCACAACAGGAGCCAGGGCAGGAGCTGGAGCTCACTGCGGCAGCATGCAGTGCCACGGGATAACCAGGAGGCAGCGGGCACCGAGGGAAGGGTCGTCCCTTCAGCCCCACCGTGGCCAGGACCACCAGAGCCCAGAGGTGGGGTCAGGCTCTGTGGGGCTACAAGCCCGACCCCAGCACACTGCAGGCCTCACCCCAGTGATCCTGCCTTGCAGCTGCCGGAGCCATCCCTGTGCTGCAGTGGGAAGAGGCCTTGGAGTGGCTGGAGGAGCTAATCTGAGCGCTGCACTCACACCGTGATAGGGACACTTGGGGGACAACGGCGTGCTACAGCGACCGCACAACACACAGACCTCGCCCTGATGGACAGACAGATGGACACGGCGCTGGTGGTTTATTTGGGTCTAGCTAGGTGCCGTGCTGCTGGTGGCCGTGGTGGGGCCTGTTCAGGTGCTCTCCTCATCGGGCTGCGGGCAGTCCAGCCAGTACTGCGCGATGGAGCGCGGGTAGCGGGGCTGCACCAGATCCACGCGCTTGGTGCGCAGGTTGACACGGTAATACTTGTCTGGGGGGGGGACAGAAGGAGCTGTCAGACCTCACTGCCAGCCCCGCGCTGTCCCAAAGCATCCCCAGCGCCAAGGGGCAACTCTCCTCCAGACTCACCGCCTACAAAGAAGTAGACGCTCTGTAGGGTCTCACACTGCGATCCTGACAGCCAGTCTCTTTCGGTGTCGGTAGATTCGGAATCGTTGTTCAGCCAGCCCCAGAAACCCAAATTCAGAGTGCGATGGTTCCTGTACCTCTTGCGGTGGCGACGGGAATTCCTCCTGCGGGGCTGCCGGGATGACACGTAGATCCTGCCGGCCATGGCAGCATCCAGTCCGTTGGGAACCCCCCGCCAGTCCCTGCTGATGAGCCGTGGGCTGCTCGCCCCAACTGACAGAAAGCATGAGTTAGAGAGCAGCAACACGTGGGCACCGGCATCTGGCCCACAGACATCCTGCAGTGCCTGCCCCGAGGCACAGGGATGCTCCAAAGGGTCCCTGGTGCGATGGGATCTGCATTGGGATCTTGCCCAAATGTAATGTCTCTATGAGTGGATGTGGTGGGGATGGGTTGGTGTTTGCACCCAGTGATCTTAGAGGTCTTTTCCAACCTTAATGGTTGTATGAGGGGGCACGGCGGGGAGGGGTTGACCATCGGACTCGATGGCCCTGGAGGTCCATTCCGAAATTAAAGATTCTACCTATGATTCTGTGAATGGGTACAGTCGGGAGGGACGGGCGGTTGGACTCGATGTCCCAGCACTTACCCATCCTACTACCAAAGAGGGAAAAGAAAATGTCCTCCCAGCTGTCACGGTTCATGAAGGCGTAGTGGTTGAACACGGTGGAGGGAGAGGACTCGTCGCACTCGGCCTGCGTGGGCTGATGGGCGAAGTCGTAGGACCAATAGTACTCACCTAGAGGAAGGATATGGGGTATCACTGTGGTACTCGGGGCTGAGCAGCAGCTGGGGGAGCAGCATCCTGCCCATGGCCTCCGTGGGGATCAGGAGGGCTGGCTGTGTTACCCTTGAAGAAGTAGACTCGCTCATTGCCGTGGAAGCTGTGTGCTGGGAGGGCAAAGGCAGCGTCGATGTCATTGGGGATACCCTCAAAGCCCTCGGAGATGTCGCGTGGGTACCCAGGGTCCAGGGCTCCGTCATCAAAGCGCCAGTACCGGCTGCCCTGGGGAGGAGCAGGCAAGTTGGCAAGGTGACACTGGGTGTGAGTGTGCTGGGCATGGCCATGGGGATATGGGGACATCCAGAGGTATGTGGATACACCTGTGCTGGGGATGACCATACGTAGGGACACCCAGAAGCCACCATGTGTATGTGGAAAGTCCCAGGGTGGGGAAAGGGGAGGTGGATGCTGTGACCAGGAGAGCTCTGCCCACCTTGAAGAGATACGTCTTGCCCTGGCAGTTGATGCGTGTGAAGGCTGCGTCAATGGGGCCCTCAATGCCCCAGACATCACTGATGAGCTTGGGGTAGCCGGGCCGCACACTGGACTTGTCCAACTCATAGAAGTATTTCCCTGGGAAGAGAGAAGAAGAGGGGGGTGGGAGCTGAGTGACCAGCACCAGGTGGCAAGGGAAATATTGAGCTGCCAGAAAAAGGGCTGTAGGTACCTCGGAAAGCATAAAGGGAGCCATTCTTCAGGTCGGTGAAGGCATTGAAAGGTTTCCTGCTGCACAGCTCCTCAGGCTCATCCTCCAAGCTCGGGTTCCTGGTCCCATAAGACGCAGTGGTGGTGGTGGTCGTGGGGTGGAGTGTGGGCACCTCTGTCTCTACCGGTGTCTCCTCAGTGGCCGTGTCGATCTCCCGTGTCGGTAACGGGGACGTGTGCGGTTCTGTGGGGTGTTCTGTGGGTGCTAGTGTCCCTGTGGGCCCTACTGTGCCAGTGTCAACGGGGAGGTCATAGTCGAGGTACTCATCCTCCGGCAAGGCGAAGACATCTCCTCGTGTCACTGTGGAGGGGACAGGTTGGTCTCAGAGCCCCAGGTGTCCCCATGCCAGCTATGGGTCCTCCCAGGGCACTGAGTGTGATGGGATGTGCCAAGGTACTGAGCTCTGCAGCACTCTAGTGCCAAACCCCAGTCCTGCCATTGCTCCATGGACACAGGACACTGTTGGGAACCCTGAACCACCGAGGCCGGTGGCTGGGGACATGGATGGCAGCAGGGTACCTTTGGCTTTGCAGACAGTGGAGTAGTCAGTGCAGCAGCTCTGGTAGTAGTTGCAGAGGGTGTCACACTGGCACTTCTTCAAGGCGTTGAAACCCTCATCACAGCGACCTTCACAGGAGTCTGCAAGAGCACAGAGGGAGCACAGTAGGGTGAAGGCAAACATGATGACATCCCCAACCTCTCCATGGGCACCCGGGCGGCACTTCTCCCCACTCTGCCACGCAACGAGCTGCGTGACCCAGCAGCAAGGATTTACCCGAGATATCCATACCATCACCCCATCCCCGTGGCAGTCAGCAGGGCAGGATTGGGGCTTACCTTCAGCAGCACGAGTTGAGGCAAGCAGGGCCAGCACCAGGACAGGCAGCAGCAGCCTCATGGTGGGCAGCCGGGAGCGCAGCCCTACTGTGACTGAGCAGGACGCGGAGCTGGGGCCCCAGCATTCACTGTTTGCTCAGCCTGCCCCAGAGAAAACAAACAGGGCAAGGTCAGTGCATGGGATGATGGGCAGCGCTCTCCCTCCTGCTCTCCTCCCTTCTTAGTCCACGTTGTGTTTGGGGAAAAGCTCTGTGCATGTGCTTACATATCGGAGGGCTTGGGGGATTGCTGCCTTGCAGGAAGCCTGGCAGCAAGAAGGGAAACCTGAAGGATGCAGGCAGAATATGGGGCCGCTGCCCAAGGGGGTTGGGGTGAGCAGCCATAGGCATAGTGAAGCGCTGTGCACTTTCGCTACACTAGGCAAACAAAAGCCCGTGTATTTTGCTCCTCTCGTTTCCTTTCTGACCAAGCTTTTCGGTTACTAATTAATGTCAACTCAGCTCTTTTGGTGGCTCCTGATAACTGCAGGATGGTTATTTAATCGGGGGCAAGGAGCAAATGTGCACGAGGTGACGGTGCTTCCACTCTGGATGTTTCATACTGCTGGGGTGCTGCTGGGGCAGAGCTCCACTGGGGAATGCCCATCCTGGGGTGGCCACAGTGCCACTCCGAGTGACAAAACTTGGGGAGAGAAGACAGCCCTGTGGGCTTTCCCCAAGCCAGGCTGGGCACAGCCAGTTCCTGGATTGGCTGCTCCCTCCCTTGCTCGGAAGACCTCTGGTCTGGTGCCCAGTGAGGTATTCCCAGCTCTGGTTGAGCAACAGGATATGGGGCAGGGCTTCTCCTGCAGCCCCCTCACCCCACTCCTGCCCCCAGTTGGGATTGGCACCATCGCTGGGTGCAAGCGAGTGTTGCACTGCCTTCATCCCATACCCACATGGCCAAGAGTGGGGGTAAACAGAGGGGCTGGGGACGCCCAGAGCAGCAGCAGAGGCTGGGCAGCACCAAAACCCCATTACCCATAGGCTCAGACCGAGCTGCTCATTGCTTCCAGGCTCCCAGCCACCTCCCCACTCTCAGCTCCCACCAATCTCTTGATACCCTCCCAAGAAGCAAAGCAGAACAAAACAAAGCTCTCTAGGACAAGGCAAAGGGAAGGCCTTGAACTCTGCCCCCTCCACAGCAAAAAACCCTGCATCACAGCGCCGTGACCCCTGATAACGACTTATCAAGGAACTGCTTACTGGTTCTGTGCCTCCTTGTTGCCTCCTCTGCTGTCTGATGTCTGCGTCCCTGTGTCTCTTCTGGGTCCTAGGAAGATTAGAAGTGGCTCTGTGGCATCACAACATCAGCTTGGATTTAAGTCTGGGGCTGAGCTGTTTTTGGAGCAGAGGATTTAAGCCGCTCCTCCCAAAGCATTTCTGCCCTGAGCACGTCTGGCCTGGAAAAAGGAAATAAAAGGGGCCCAGGGTGCCTTGCTCCTTCTTTTATCATGCAAATCCCGAGCCCACCCAAGAGCTGCTCTGAATTTCCCATGCAGCGGTTACTCAGCGCCGCGCACGATGGTGCACCGCGTCCAAAATGCGGTGCCACGGCCACCACGGCGCTCCCTTCCGCAGTGACGACCATAGAAGCCTCCGGGGCATATGGGGAGGGGGGACATGGAGACAGCGGGGCTGGGCAGGGGCTGCGTGCAAGAGGAGGGCCCTGGGCATAAGGGGGGGCTGCAGCGGTGTGAGCCCCTCCTCGCAGAGGCGGCGCTTGGATTGGGTGACATCAGCTGCGGGCGAGCCGGGATGCTGAGCGTGGCGCTGCCATCGGGTCCCCACCCTGCGTCCCCAAAAAAGAGTCCTGCCTGGGTGGTGCCAGCAGGCGGGCCCTGAGGATGCTGCGCTAAGGGATGTCGATGGTGCTCACCCTGCTCGTCTCCGTCCATCGGCTGTGCCGGCTCTTCGCCATGTCTGGTGCGGAGAGGTTGGCGGTACCCGAGTGCGTGAGCCAGGCGGGATGCTGGGCTGCGGGCGGCTCCAGGGAACGCCGCGAGGTTTCCCCCGGGGTGAATTCAGACATACGGGCGGCTCTGGAGCGGATCCTGCCCGCCCTGCAGCGCTCCATCGCCTGTGCCAAGCAGGCTGCGGGCCCTGCTGAGATGGGGAAAGCCATCGCTGAGATATTCCAGCTGGTGGAGGAAGCCTGGGGGATGCCCACGCTGGGCAGGGATGTGGCCAAAGCACTGTGTGATGCCATCCGCCTGGAGGGAGGCCTGGACCTGCTGCTCAACCTGCTCTACACGGCCGAGCTGGAGACCAAGTGCCAGGCAGGGCAGCTGCTGGAGCAGATCCTGGTGGCAGAGAACAGGTGAGTCCATCAGGAGCCCCTCATACCCCTTAAGTTTCTGAGTGCTCCCAGTTCCTCCCCCTTGCTTGCATGCAGGATTCACAGCTTGTTGGCCCAGCACAGGGGATGCTGGCATGGAGTTGGGAAGCTCCATGAGCCATCCCAGCCAGGTGTCCCTAAGAAGCCCGTTGGGAGATCTGGGTGGTTTGTCTGCATCAGGGCATCTCACTCCAAGGAGGAATGACACAGCTGCCCCCTGACCATAGCCATAGCAGGAGGAGGAGGAGCAGGAGAATGAAGCTATTTCCCAGAGACTTCCTGCTGCTGACCAGTGCAGGCTGTAGGTTGGTGGCCATGGGAGCACCCAACTCATGGCTCTGTGGAAGCTGGAGGTGAATGTGCTGAGCCACGGGACAGGTGAGAGGTGTCAGGCCGTGCTGGAGCAGCATCACCAATGGGGTGGAAGCATGAGGGTGTGCACCAGCACGTGTATCAGCATGCACACGTGGCACCCAGCACCACCCAGTGCACCGCTCACATCACCAAAGGGTGATCCCCATTCTGTGATCACTGTTCAACCCTTTATCTAAAACCCTGCCAGACTCTTGCAGCTCTGCTTGTTGGGGTTGGTGCCCCAAACTATTGCTTAGGGAACATGCTGAGAAATCCTTGCCAGAGTTGAGGATCTCTCTCCAGCTCTGTGTGCACTGTATCTCACTCCCAGATCGAGGACTCGCAGCCCAGCCTTTGCTGTGTGCTGCACAAAGAAGCAGAGCTAAATATGGAAAGCCCATTAGAGTGAATTAATCCCAGGAGC